GGGGAGGGCGGAGGGCGGGGGAAGGGGGAGGGGGGCGTCGCGTGCCCGCTCATCACAACCGGCGCGCCGACGGCGCCGGCTCACAGCGTTGAAGCAAGGCTCCGATCGAGCTTGCGGCGTCCCCGGTCCTCCGCTCAAAGCATCCAATAGAGCGCCTGTCACGCTACATGGGGCTGAACAACCCAGGGTACATGTACTTGCGTGTCTGTGGGCAACGGCAGAAGCTGGGGGGAAGGGGGTAAGGGGGCCGCCTCACCATGACGACCTCCTGCTGCACTGCCGCCTCCGACGCGGTCAGCAGCTCGCACTGCCGCCCCAGCAGGTCGCGCTCGTGCTGCAGCGCCAGCACGCGCTCCTCCAGCATCGCGATGCGCACGTCCGCCTGGCGCAGCTGCTGGCGCGCGGAGGCCAGCTGGCGCTGCAGGCACGGCGGCTCCTGCACGGGCGCGCGGAGCAGGCGGCGGGGCTTGGGGTGTTTGCGAGCCGCGGCTGCTGGCAACTCCCGAGTCGCGCTGTGCCACTACAGGTTGGTTCCCTACGCCGCGCAACATAGCTGCAACTGTTGAAATCCTTCCCTCGCCACACGCGGATGCCTTGCTGCCGTCCAGTCTCAGCTGCAGCAGCACGCGGGAATGATGTGGCGGGACGATCGCGGGTTGCTGGTGGTCGCTACTTTCGGCCTCACCGGGGATGAGGGGCACGACGAGCCCGACGCCAGCGAGCCTTCCGACCTTGGGGCGCCGCGCGCAGCAGCCGCCGCGTCGGCGCCCTGCCCCGGCCCGCCCGCCGCGAGGCGGTCGCGCTCCCACTCTGCGTGCGCCTTCTCCATCTCGAGGCGCTTTGACTGCTGGCGCAGCGCGTCGTTTTGTTGGTAAGCGTCGAAGAACCTGCGGCATCGGCACAGCAGCAGCATGGGCAAGAGCCCCGTCAGCCATCCAGGTGCTTCTCTGGCAAATGTATCCTCCTTGCGGAGTGGTGCCGTGCCGAGAGGACACCTGTTTCTGCTGGCGCCCGTCGCCCTTGCTGCTGGTCGACCCCAGCTCACTTCTCTTTCCAAGCATTCTTCTCGGCCACGGTGTACTCGAGCTCCTGCTTCCAGAAATTGACCTGTTCAACGGATTGAGTGTTGTGGCGGGTGCACACGGAGCATGGGCGGCGAACGGGCCGCGTTCACCGTACGCCGTGCATACTTGCGCTCTTGCGCCTTGGACTCTCCTCCCCAGACGAGCCGCGGTTGCAGGGGGCCATATGCGTGCCAGCACCCTCTGCAGTCGCAGGGAGCCCCAGACAGTGACAGGTCATCTGCATGCAGCGCCGTTGCTGCGCACCTCCTTGCGGGTGTGCTCGACGGCCTCCTCCTACACGTTGGATGGGCGACGCACATTCAAAGATGTCGCCAGGCATCGCCGGCATTCGCGCGCAGCTGCTGCCCCCGGGTCAACAAGATTGCCGTATCACAACATGCCAGGAGGCCAACTCCTTGCTCTCGCACCTTTTGCCTTCTGCCCCTGCGTCCCAACAAGAACGCCATACTGGCTGGTAACCGCTTAGGAGAACGAAGACGGACGCGCCACAAGTAGTAAGAACCCTAATACAATTGCGTGGATTTGAGTGGAACCGCAGGAGCTCGCGCAAGGCTGATCTGGCCTGTTTTGCTCATTCGGCTGGAGCTATATAGCAGGCCGGCAATCCCCTCGCTACAAAATAAAATTAGCGTGCGTGCCGAGGGCTTTGGGTGCTGTCCAAGCTTCAAAGCGCTTGAATGCATTCAACGACAACAGTCACGGTGGAGCTGCTCCATTCGGTGGACACCCGACCCGTGGAGGCCTCTGCACGGCAGCATTTTCAGTGGAGAGCTTCCAGACCTCGAGTTATACGTGAGTCGAGAAAGTGCGTGGTGCGCATTTGGAGACGGCGCGAACCTTTCAGCTTGTTGCCGCAGCATGGCCAAGCCGCCCAAGGAGCAGAGGAAGCGGCCCAGGGACGATCAGGAAGCCGCTATGAGTAAAGGGGAGCAGCAGCAGGCCAAGCAGCCGGGCGGCAAAGGCAAGCGCCGCCAGCCGCCGGCGCAGCCCAACAGCGACGGCGCTGTTGATGCCAGCGCTGGCGCTTCCAAGGCGCAGCAACATCGCGGGGCGCTGTTTGAGGCCCCTGAGGGTGAGCACGGGAATGGGCTGGATCCAGCGGCGCGCCGTGTGTCAGAGGCGCGAGAGACGACAGGACTGCAGCAAAGAGCCATGGTGACACTGTCGCTCCCTAATGCAAGAGTCACCGCTTGCCCTGGCGGCCGGCGCCCCGCATCCTGCCTCCGCCGTCTGCATGTGCACTGCCACCTCGCATCCGCGCCCATACTCTGGCGCGCTACTCCACACCTCACTGGCCATGCGCCCCCTCGCACCCCAACTCTCCGATGCAGGCGTGTCAGAGCAGTCGCTGGCCGCCTGCCGCTTTTTTGACCGCCTGGCCGACTTGGTGGACCCAAAGTTTTACTATGATAACGACAGGGACCCCATCAACCTGCGCTTCCTCAAGAAAGCCGACCGCGGCGACATGAAGGCGCGCATGAAGCAGCAGCGCAAGGCCAACAAGCGGACGCGCCTGGACCCGGACGCCGCGCAGACCACCGTCGAGCTGCAGCGGACGAAGGCGGCGGCGAAGAGCGGCGGCGGCAGTGCAGGCAGAGTGGGTGCTGTCGCAGCAGCGGGCGCGCGCGGTGGCGTGGCGGAGCCGGGGCCGGGTTCCGCAGCCACCGCACAGCACCAGCAGCAAAAAGGGATGCGGCTCAACATCTCCTCAGGTGCATTGTGGTTCGCCTGATGATGCCTGTGCTTGGGCAGCATGCAAGCTGGACATATTGCAGCCGGGTCCCAGCTTCGCATGGTGTGGAAAGGCTGTCGACAGTGACATTTGGGATTTAGGGTTGAGGTTCTTTGTGCTCTCAAGCAAGCCTGCACGCACGCACTCTGACTTCTGCGCGTATACACACACACACACACACACACACACACACACACACAGTCACACAAAGCCTCTCTAAACCACATGGCCGCGTCATATTTGCACAACGCAGGCCCTGCACCCTCCAGGGCGGAGCTGCTGCAGCGGCTGCACGAAAAGATTGAGGCCGCACGGTTGCAGCGCCACGCGGAGGAGGAGGCGGGCGGCGGCGGCAAGAAGCAGACGGGCGGGAAGGAAGCCACGTCGCCAGGCGACCAGGCCAAGGCGTGGCGGCAGCAGCAGCTGGAGAAGCAGGTCAAGCAGCAGCAGGCGGGGGCGAAGAGGTGCGTCGGCTCTGGCCAGGGCCATGGCTCTGTTGGGGCACCAGGGGTGCGGCATCACAAGTAGCGCAGCGCTGCCGTGCATGTCGTGCGCCTCGCACCAGCTTGACGAGACCCGAGTTGCACCACGGCCTCTCCGTGCAGGAAAGCGGACGGCCAGGCGGCGCCGCAGGGGCAGCAGCAGCAGGGCGGCAAGGGCGAGCAGCCCGGGAAGAAGGCCCGCACGGAGGGCAAGCAGCAGCAGGGGCCTAGGCAGCAGCAAGGGCAGCAGCAGGGACAGCAGCAGGGGCAGCAGCAGCAGCAGCAGCAGGGAGGCGGAGTCCTCCAGGTCAGCAGGGTCGTGGTCGATGACGGTGAGCGTCCTTGGGGTGAAGTCGGTTGTGGGTACATTTGGTCGCCGCGGTTTTCTTCGTGGTTCTGGTTGTTGCGGTTGCTGTTCTTGAGATGGTGCGGCTACAACCAGCGGCTTGCGCTCTGCCAGCCCCAGAGAGGCAGCTGCATGCGCAGCGGTTGGGCCTGGTCCAGGTGTGCTTGTTGTGTTGGCTGCGATGCTGCCCTTGAGCAGGTGCCCCATCCACCCACCATCGCTAGCTCATGCATCCACCCTCTTGCAATCCATCTTGCAATGTGCCATTACCACCCCCCCCCTCCCACAGGGAAGCAGCAGCACGGCGGCAGCAAGAAGAAGAAGCCCTCGAAGGAGACGCTGCTGAAGGCGGCGCAGGAGCGGCAGCAGACAGATGCAAAGGGCGACGACGAGGCGGCAAAGGTGTGCGCGGGGCGGACCAGCATAGCGGGTGCGGACCTGCCTGTGCAGGTGCATGTGTGTAAGCAGCCGGCCCGCGCCTTGGTCAACAGACTCTGGGTAGCTTCACAGCGCCGCTCTGACCCCTGGCCGCCGCGCCTGTGTTTTTCCTGCAGGCCCGCGCGGCGCAGCTGGCGTGGCAGGCCGCGCTCTCGCGGGCGCGGGGCGAGAAGGTGCTGGACGACCCCAAGCTGCTGCGGCGCTCCATCAAGAGGGACAAGTCCAAGAAGGCGGCGAGCGCAAAGAAGTGGGGGGAGCGGCTGGGGGCGCAGGCGGAGGCGAAGCAGGCGCGGCAGGACAAGTGAGCGGGCAGGGCAGGCGGGTTCGGAAGGGGCTTGGGGGGTCAGTGTGTGTGTGTCACGTGTCGCACAGGGTCGTGTTTTGTACGGCTGCCTCGTTGGCGATATGATATGCCAGTGCTGTGGTCATGGCGTGCGGGG